ATAAACAATCGAGAATCGACCGAGGAAGAAAGTTGAGGAGGGAGTGGAACTTGCTTGTGTAACTTGTGTATCCTCTCAACGCTGCGAGAAAACAATTTAAACGTAACTTCCTTCTTTTTTTTCTTTTTTATCTCGTCCTTAAAACGAAACCAGAAATTTCATTCAAACTTTTTCGTAAATTTTCTCTTCGAAAAAAAAAAATAAATAAATAAACGAAGCAAATCAAAATTGCCATTTCCTTACTTCTAGTACTCGCGTATCTTTACGTGTATAGTCGTGAAGTTCCACGATTCTTGGCGACCACGAGGCAGCGAGAAGGCTGGAATCTCCAGCCTCGTCGACCCTTTTCCCGTGGAATTCCCCGTCCAAATTCTGGCGGAAATTCTGCGCGGGAACACGCGGTTCCGCTCCTTCAACGCCTTCGCCCGACTCGTTTCAATTAAAAAAATTACTGCCGAAATTCCTGAGATTCCTGAGACACGGGGCTGCGTGAAATGACGATGGCGGACCGAAATCGGCACGGTATGCCGACGGTCCCGGCACAACGCTTCAATTCTCGTCCCCGTTATGTTAATACGCCGACAATTTCATCGCCGGTATACACGCGTGTCTAATGGATCTGTGGGTAATTGGAAGGGTGGAAGCAACGGACCGATGACAATGCCATAACGCAAGAGGGCTTTCGCGTAACGACTCTCCCTCCCTCGTCTGCTGCTCCTAACTGTACCGCTCCTCCACGATCTGTACAGGGTGTCTTGTAACAAATGGCTAATATCGGATCGAACGAAGAAGAAGTTGTGATTTTAATCTCGGTAAAAGGGAACAGTTTTTTTGTTCGCGATAAATTTATATTAAGAGGATTATATTTCTGAAATAGAAACACACAGATGCACGTTTGATTTGGTATACACGGATGCGTGCGTTTGGAAAGACGATTCGATTCTGTGTTCGATTCGAGAGGTAAGGAAATCCGTGGTTCGCGAGATCGTGAATGATGGTGAATTAAGCGGAGGGGGGATGAAGAAAAAAGGAGAAAAACGCGATGAATCAGATGGTGCATTGAAAAGCGTGTTCTCAAAATAAAGTACTTTCTTGTTCGCCCCGTTCCCACGAATGAAGGGCATGATTCATGTGAATGGAACGGAGCGTAGCTCTTTCCGTAAGAAAAGTGGGAAAAAATGGTAAATGATCGCTGTTCTTCGAACTTTCTTCATCCTTCGTTTCATAACTTTTTCCTTATGAGTGCATACGGTTTTGTTTTATCGCTATGTGGAAAGCGCTATGTGGATTTAAAGTAAAACTTCTTCAGACGGATGGCGAATTCTTCGCGCGAATTTTAATTTATCCGCGGAGTTTTGGGTTCAAATATTCGAGTAATGCGCCGGAAATATCGTCGACGTATTACGCGAAACATATATGCACGAATTTGTATACTTGTGTACGTTATATTGCAATAACACGAATTATTCGATTCGCGAATAGTATACAAATAAAATTTTGATTTTTCGTGTAAAAACGGTAAGGAATAACTAAAAATTGTGTCGTTAAAATTTAATCAGGAAATAGAGAAAATTATGCCGTGTAAGCCTTTTTTTTGTTTTATCCCGATATCTCAATCGGGATTAAACCGAGATATAAGCACTCAAAGTTTCCATTATCGCTTAAGATAGTGCGAACATTATGAATGAATTACGATCCAATGACCTATATTTTTTCCAGGAATCGCGATCTGTCTTTTATCCGAAATTTATGGATAGATCAATGGAGGCAGGCGTAGGCAAGAAGTCCGGATAAATGACAAGGACGAAAATGATAAAATAATTGAAAATTACCTTTTTTCTTTACACGATAATATCTCGAAAGAATAATATAATCGTATAAGAATAAATAAAAAGGAGGCATTTTAAAGAGGAAAGATCCGCGCTTCTAACGATTGACGTTAAATACTATCAACTTCGAAGTTACAGCTATTCCTAATTTTCCTAATTTTAATGGCAATTTTAAAAAATCACCTTTCTTTTTTCCGCCATGATTTTTCACGAATCGAAATGTATCGAGATAAATCGGAAATTTCCATTTGAAAAATAACAAAGTTCTCCGTTCCGTTTGCCCAATCGATCGAAAACCTCTTCAAAAATTATACGAGTTTGATAATAAATTTCAGATTGAGAAACTCTGTTGCCGTCTTACGCGGAGCGCCGACCATTCGTTATTCCGGTCGAAGGAAAATTACGAAATCTCAATCACGCCTGGAGAAAAAAGAAAGTAACGCGAAACCCACCTCGTCGTTGCTTGTCCGCACGTTGTCCACCGGTAGCCAGCCACCAATCACGGTGGCCGGAGCGAGCCGCGTATCGCGGTTTGCTCCTTTTCTCGGCTTCGGCTTCACGAATCGTGTCCACTGGCTCACGCGAGGCGGACACAGGCGTGTCGCGTGGCTTTGTGAACACACGCGGTAGTGAGGAGAGAGAGAGAGAGAGAGAGAGAGAGCTCGTTGAATCGAAACCGAACGCGACTACCGCTCCATTCCCTCTCCTCCTCCTCCTNC